TTTTTCTCCTTTAATAATACTTACTAATTTTGTAATCCTCCTAAAATCTGATTTCTTTTTTTTTCATTTTTTATTTTTTAAAAAATTTATTTGTTGAGATGGTTACACATAAAATCAAAATATTATTAAGCAAGCATTGTACAGAGAAACCCTCAATTTTTTTTTATTGTTAGTAAACATGGAAGCATTATTTGGTATGGCTCTGAGGAAGATATGCTATTTGTTGATAATCAATGATTTATTTTTTTTGTATTAACACCATTTTTACTTATAAATAGTGAAGTGAGATCAAAACATGAACGAAATCTGTTAGTTATGTCTTTTACATTATATAGCAATAGGTAATTATATAATATTCCTTATCGTGATAACCATTGAAGATAAATCACATACAATACGCACATAAAACTGCTCTTAGACAGTTTGTGAACACTAAGAAACGATTCGATATGCAACATTTTATTGCTCGAATATTTAAAACATTCTCATCTTCCATATGTTACAGTTAGGCTAATTTGACTTGGTTCCCGATGATATAACATGAATCAAACTTCAGAGAGGGGGGGTGGGCCAGTCCTGGAGTTTATTAATTATATTGTTGTCAAGGAGAATGTTAAAGCCTCTCGCTTTTCTGAAACCTTCCAACTTGTAATTTGCCTTAACTCATGGATGATAATCGATAAGTTAAAGCCTAAACCTAAGTCCTGTTTAACAGAATTCGAGACAGATTCAGATCCCTCTGAATCAAGTAACTTCAATGCTTCATCTGATTCACCTGATCCAGCCAAGAAAGAGCCACTCCAACCAGAGGATCAATCTAAAACAGAAATATAGTATAATTTCCAAAAAATAGTAAATATACACATTATTTATTAAATTTAAAGAAAAAAAAAGTAAATATAAAATAAATTAACCTTTTCTACATTCATAGTTGCTGTAATCTAAGGTCCCTTCCGTGTGTGTAATCACTTAAAAATATATAAATGTAAATAAAAGTTTTTTCAACATGCTGTGATATATTTTTTAATGATAAAAAGTTAAAATACAAATAAATACCTTGTCTTAATAAACCAATTAAAACATTAGTCTGTAGTGAACGTTCATGAGATTCGTTCATTACAACAGTATTATAATGATCAAGTTCTGATGCTTTAAATGATTCACACCATCAGTTATAAGAAATTAATTTTTGTCTTGTACATTTTATCAGAGTACTTTCAGAAGTATGTCTTCAAAATCGAATTTCATAACCCACTGTTGTTCCAAGATTACACTAAATAAATTAAAAACTTCTTGATGGATTTATTTATCAGTTACTAATAAATATTAAAAATTTTATTTGCATCCATTTCTTCACTACACGTTTAGCAACCAGCACATGTCAAGGTTGTGTACATCCAATAATCCCATACTTGCTATAACCATTTTCATAAAGATATTATGTAAGATGCGTGGTTTTACCTGAATTTGTTTCTCCAACAATAATAAATAGATTAATCTTAGAAATTAAGGTATGTTACTATTTTTTATTTATTTATATGATTTGTCTATTTGTTTATATGCCCATCTAATAATTTTTAAAAGTTCTTCATGAGATGCAAAAGCTGGTAAAATTCTCTCTATTTTTGATCTTGCTTTCAAATGTGATGCAAATTGAGAATCACCCAATTTCATTATTTTGTGCTATTTAAAAATTTTTTTTAAGAAAATATATTTATTATTATATTGCGAGTAATAAATGTCGCGCTACGTTCAAATTAATTATCCCTTAAACGAAATTGCGTCCAAATCTGGACGCAATTTACAATTGTGACTCAAAAATTATAAAAAAAGATATTTTCCTGCAGTCTCACCACAACCTTTCTTATTTCATAAATGATATTCAAAACCCTCTACTTCTATTAAAAAAATGTATTTTGGGGTTACATATTACAAATAAAGAAATAACGTGTGTAAAAACAAAAAAGTTTTCTTTGCTGATCATTTTATAATAAAATGAAATTCCAATGGAGTTTGAAATCCTATATGCAATACTAATTAAAGAATGTTTCTAAAACCATCATTGTTAATTAACTGCTTGTGGGACTCATTATATTGATATTTTTGTGTTTTGGAAAATAGACATAATAAAATATGGAATATATTAATAGAAATAAATGTATTTTCGATTTCAATATTAATATTAATATTAGTAAATACATACGGAAAAGACATTTATACTATTACTGTCTTAAATATGGAAATGGTAATGAAAAAGCATTCTCTCCTATGGGTGATCCCATATTAGTTATTAATTATGAGTATTACTTGAAGGAATTAAATTCCTGAAAATTGTAAATAACTTTGATCTAAATTTTTTATAAATACCAGGACCTTCAGACAAATAAAATCCAACTCAAATTATTTATTTGAAAATCAAACTCAATATTTGAATAAAAAATAAAACAATTTTTAACAATTTATTTTTAATCTTGAAATAATTGTTTTTAATAAAAGTCAAATTTTAATTTAACAATAAAAACTACTTTTAATAAAAATCAAAATGAATCCTGAACAAAATATTAATATTTTTGAAGATTCCAACGATCCCAGCAATGGATATTATATTGCTAGTATTACAAGAAGGCTGGGTGGTTTTTATGATAATGAATTATCTGAAGATTTTAATGATCCAGAAACAATCAATGATAATGAAGATGGCGAGGATGATGAAGGTGAAACTTCAAGTTTTAGTAAAATTAGGAGCAGTAGAGAAATCAGAAGCAACCGTGGAAGAAGAGAAGGAACTAGAGGTGGTAGAGACACACAACAAATTGATCTTCCAGATCCACCATATTTTAATCAATTTAATCATCAATTACCATTGCATGATTCTGAAACAAATTTGCCATACGAATTTAACAATCTTGATCTTGTCAATCCTATCCAAATTTTTAAATTATTTTTTACAAATACTATTTTGAGGACAATTGTAAGCAATACCAATATCTATGGTAAAAGTAAAAACGGAAACGTATGGATAGACATTGACTTGTTTGACTTGCACATTTGGCTAGGAATAATCATTTATGCAGGTTTATTTAAAACACCATCAATTCGGGACCTTTGGAATAAGGATACAAAAATGCCAATACACCCCATTGCATCATATATGCAGATTAGAAAATTTGAAAAAATAAAAAACTTCCTACATATTTCAAACATAGAGGAGGCTCATCCATTTTGGTATTCTAAACTTGAACCATTAGCATCCCATATAAACACAATATCGCAATCCATTTTCACTCCATCATCTAATGTTTCTGTAGATGAAATGATTATAAAATTTTGTGGCAGAAGTGCACATACCTTTAGATTAAAAAATAAACCAACACCAGAAGGGTATAAAATCCTAGCTTTATGTGATGCAGGATACACTTTCTCTTTCATATTTACTTCTAGAACTGAAAAAGAAGGTGAAGTTCAATCAATTGGAAATCTTGGTAGAATAGGAAGTCAAGTTGCACATTTAGCTTCCAGATTACCATCACATAAAGCATTTAATATTTACATGGATAATTATTTCACAAGTATCCAGTTATTTAAATTTTTACGTGAAAAGGGGATTGGTGCATGTGGGACCGTTCGTACAAATTCTTCAAGATTCCCCTCTGTTCTTAGAATAAAAAATAAAAAGTTAGATTGGGACACACTCTCTGGTGTTGTTATTGATAATGAAGTATTGGCAATATTGTGGATAGATAATGGTCCTGTTACAATGCTATCCACAATACACAATATTGTTGGTGATGAAAATAAAATAAATAGAAACAGACGTCGCCCACGTCTAACAAGTACCAATGCAGCCAAAGTAAACAAAGTCTTCGGTAACAGCACAAGAAAGATATTGTCAATCCCCAAAATAATCGATGATTACAATCACCACATGGGTAGTGTGGACATTGCAGACCAGTTGAGGTGTTATTATTCAACGCAACAAAAAGTCAGAAGAACCTGGATGCCTATATTTTTCTGGTTGTTGGATATTGTAATCATCAATTCTTATTTAATATATAAAAAACGGTATAATAATGAAATGACTCATAAAGAATTCAGTTTAAAACTTTCATGGGAATTAATTGAAGAAGGATTAGATAAAAACAATGAAAGAGAAACCCGCGGACATACCATACTTGAATCATCTTCATCTTCATCCAGAGCTTCCTACATTAAGCAAAGATCAGAATTAACCACGGAAAGGTTAGTGATTGAAAATAATCATCTTCCAGAATATAGAGAAAATAGAATTGCGTGTGAATGGTGCAAATTTGAGACCCAAAGGGACGAAGGAAAATCTCATAAGTCTCAAAATCGTTCTTATATTTATTGTACAGCATGTAATGTTGCATTGTGTTGTTCTCAAGCTAGAAACTGCTATATAGATTACCACACAGAGACAGATTGCTAGTCTTGTTTTTTTAATTTTATTATTTTATTATTTATTTTGGTTACACAATACTTGAAAATCTATACGTAAGTTCTTTCTTTATATTTAAAAAAAAATCGTAGCCTAAATTAGCATCATTTTTCTAAATAAAGTTGTTAAATGGAACATGTATTATTACATATCTTACGGTTTTAGGCCTGGTTTCAAATGATGAAATTTTTTACTAATCGCAGCTTACAAAAAATCCAAAAATTAGTTTTTTTTTTAAAATGTGTTTATTTTAGTATCAGTAAAACTTCTACAAAAAATTTTTTTTTATTAAAAACGAATGTTTATACATAAATTTCATAACCTTTTCTATCGAAAAATCAAAAAAAATTGGTATTAGTTAGTGATTTTTTTTGTCTAGTGGGGTCTACAATTTTTTGAAAATTGCGTCCAGATTTGGACGCAATTTCTGTTCGTTTAAGGGATAATATTAACTAAATTTTCTCCATTTTCACTCTTTTTTTAAAAAATATATATATTAATATATATATATATTATATAAGTTTTTTTTTAATTATAAAAAGCAATGGCCTGTTGTCAAGCTTTTCAAAAGCGTGCTAGATTAGCATGTTTAAAATTAAGACCAACATGCTCAACTTTATGTTTGCCCTCCATAACAAAACTGTTATGTTACTTTACCATTATACCCCTTATATTTTTTTTTTACTACTCAATTTTAGAAAAGTATTTTGATAAATTATCACTTACTACTGAACCTCCTTACCATCAATATACTACAGGTTTGTTATTTTTACTTTTAATCTATCTATATACATACATGCATATTTAATTTTAACTTAATGATAACTAGAACCAGATGATTTGAGCGAGCATATTCACAATTATTAGACTTAAACTCTAGATGGAAACCTAGTCTACCCTCAAATTTAACTGTAGTTTCTATAATTAAAAATAATGACAATGTTGAATTACAATTGAACTCTATATTTAGTCAAACAATTATGCCACAAGGCATGATTATAATTGCCTCCAAAAATACAGCTAAAAAAGTCAAACATGTCATTAAAGAGAATGATAAATACAGTGGTTTTGATGTATGGATACATGTTATGGAAACAAACAAATTTAGAATCATTGGTTGGTTAGAAGCAGTGTTGTGCCATTTATGGTTCCAATAAAATTTCATTAGAGCATTCTAATAAATTCCAATTGGAATTGGAACATTCCAAATGTGGTTCCAATGAAGTTAACCAATGAAATTCAATTATAGTGTCATACACACGAATTTTATTGGTTAATATCAATTGAAGATCTACATTGGAACATTCCAATAGCGCATATCCACCGATTTCTGCAATGTTACACGATTTCAGGCTGATTTTAGGGCACATTTTCGTTGTTTTTGTTTTGTTTTAAGGTACATTTTTGATATGTTACACCATTCTTTATCTAAAAAAAGTAATTTTTATATACTTTTGTTATTATTATGTTTGTTGAGATTCGACAGTGAATTGGATTCAATAGTGAGTGAATTGGATTTTTGTAACCCCTAGATTTATATATATTAATATTTAGTTTTTTAACTTGTAATAATATTTCTAAGATTTAAATATTTTTTTGAATCAATTCCACATTACCAACGCCTTAAATCTATTATTTATATAAAATATAGATGGCATTACAGTTTACAGAATGGTGACATTTTTATGTATTGTTAATATTAATATTAATACTGTAAAAGTAATAATTTATTAGAGTTTTTATTCTTTTTATCTGTTATTATTAGTTTTATTTTAATTTTTGATATATATATATATATATAAATTATAGTGCAAAATCAAGGCATGAGGATGATTCTATTAAATAAATCATCAATAAAGCTAAGTACAGTGTGATTCAAAAAAAATGGTGGTCGCAAAAATATTACATAACTCAACGATTACATAACATAATTAAATAAAAATATATTCATTTGAAAGCTTATAAACTATTTTATTAAATAATAAGAAATTAATAAGAAATTCTATCGCCATTTTTTTCCAAAACTAACTCACATCTTCTTTTCATAGACATAATAATATTTTTAACTGTCTCCTGAGGAATTTTCTCCCATTCTTCTACCATAAATTGTTTCAATTCATCAACATTTCTAGGCATCCTTTTTTCAACATTATTCTTCATAATGTACCATATATTCTCTATTGGATTGAGATCAGGACTGTTGGATGGCCAGTCAATTGTATTAATCTTATTTTCAGCAATGAAATCTTTTGCAACACGCGATGTGTGCTTTGGATCGTTGTCCTGTTGCAAACGCCAGCTTCTACCATACAAACTTTGTGCAGCAGGCAAAAGCTGGGTCTGCAATATGTTGACATAATAAGGCCCATCCATAATATCAGTAAAACAAAATAATGGCGTTTTACCTTTTAACGAAATTCCTCCCCATGCCATTACTTTTTGCCGTGATTTTGGCAATCTGCGAACTGGTCTCTGTCCATCTTTGTGCCATCTACGAATTTTGTTACGAAAAAGATCAAATGCTGTCTCGTCTGTAAATATTGTATGGCTCCAATTGTCATTCAAATGAGTTTGTGTCCATGCTATTCGGGCTTCAAAGTGACGAGTGGTTAGCATTGGAGTTCCAATAGGGACAGAACTTTTGTAACCTTTTTTTTTCATGTGTCGCCAAACAGTAGGTTGCGAAATAGACACATTGTGTGTTACTTGGAGTTTAATTGCAAGTTGGTGTGTTGAAATAGCAGTATTATGGCGAACAACTTGCCCAATGAAACGTGATAGATTTTGTGTAACCTTCGATGGATGACCATTCCCACCTTTATGTTCAATAGATCCGGTTTCTTTTAGTTTTTTTAAGTTGTTCTCAACTGTACGGAGAGGTATGTTTGTTTTTTCATGTATTTCTTTTGGTGAATGGATACCATTCATCCAAAAATGAAAAATAGTCTTACGTTGTGCTTCTAATTTTGCGTTAACCATTCTTTACAAAGCTTGAAGGTTAAAAGGTAAAGAAAAAACAATGTAATAACATATACGAAGACTGATTATCATGTAAACAATCATATCCAATCACATTTATCATATAAGTAAATGAGAACTTTTTTTTTAATAAATTCAAATAAGCAACCACCATTTTTTTTGAATCACACTGTATCACTGTAGTAGTAAATATGTGTCTTCGACACTAGCTTCGCTATATAGATACATGGATTTACCTCGTATATGAAATATAGAAACCCCATTCGACATATTGCATAATACAAATACATCCACCAAAAGACGTCGCCGTAACCGTACCCCACCACCATCTTACGAAGTGTCAACAATTCTAAGTACGAGTCGCCGTGAATCTACCACTAATCAAAGGAATCGATCCGCATCACCCACCCAAAGAGCGACTAGTGAAAGGAATGAGAATAACAGCGAAACAGCCACCACCAATAATAACCAAGATAATAGAAGGAATGAGAATACCACTGAAACGGCCACCACCAATAATAATCAAGATAATAGAAGGAATGAGAATACCAGTGAAACAGTCACCACCGGTAATAATCAAGATAATGGAAACAATGTAAATAATGTTAATGATGTGAGTCAGCCACCTTCTTATATGGAATCTATAAATGAAGAGAGGAATCCGTGAAGCAGGATGTTAATACATCTGAAAAAGTAATAAAAAAAATATTATATTCCTTCTTGATTAAACGTAATTGCTAGTATATGTCCATCCTTTTAATTGTATTCTTTTCATCACCATAAACGAAGAAGTATGTTATCCATCTCATATATTTCAACGTGAATTGATTTAAAGGAATTAAATTTATTGCAATGACACTTATGTGCCTTGATAATCCCTCTGCATAATCAATCAGATAATCGATATGTTGTACATGGCTATGTAATGAAAATTATTTTTAGAATTTCGATGTGTACCACCTGACTATATATAATGTAATATGCATGCATGCATGTTTATTTGTGCGATTAACCAAATTCGATTAATTACCTCATGTACATACTTTTTCTTTGTAATGGTTTTTTTTGGCGTAAATACTACTTTCTTCCACTTTATTATACCCATTCTATAGATCCAAAAGAAGATTTAGAAAGAGATAAACGAAAACGTTTAAAAGGACAGTATATCGAAGTTATTGTTACTCGACGCTTTTACATTAGCACTAAAATATTTTAATCTTTTTTTTTATAACAATTTAACTACGTAAAATGTCTAATACAGGATTATACAAAAAAGTTTATAATTTTCTTCATAATTCCCCCCTAGAACATATTACTGCAGTTTCAATGGTCCATCAAACAATAGAAGAAGAGCCGTGGTTTCCAAAAGAAGATTCGAGACAATTGATTCATAATGTGATCACGGCTATAAAAAATGAGCTTGAAGGGAATTCGGAGAAATATAGAAAACTTAATGAGATCCCTTTTAAGGTTAGTTTTTTTCCTACTCTCAAAAATTATTTTTTATCATCGAATGATGAATAGCGTAGAATCTTAAAACCAGATTGAGTAGATATCCAGAGCCTGCAAGCACAGGTTTAATCATTATTGTATTAATCCTTAGACGCATGGGGAAGTCTTCTTTGTCTTGGTTTGAGATGGATATTATATACGAATTATGTGAATTGTCATCTATGTGCTGGCCACGCATAGTTGGTGATTTTACATAATATATTCTGAAGAGTGTGCACACGTTTTTATTATAAGTTTCTCTAGAGCAACCAAATCTAACTTATTTATTTCTACGCTAGTTTGATGATGCTTTCGAAGGTGTGTGTAGCCTTAGAGATATTGATTTTGTGAAGCGAGATGAAGAGGTGTCTATTGAGGAGATTGAAACGAATTTATGGAAATTAAAGTTGAATCTTGGTAAAAGTTCAGCTCCATATGCCAAAAAATTAAGCAAATACCTTAAAAAAATCAAACCTTCTGACCTTTCATGGAAAGATCCAAAAGCAAGTCAAGTAATTAGTTACGATTCGGATATTATACAGCGCTTATCTGTGGAGGCAGAAAATGAATATAAAGATTTTATGGAGCCAGTAGAACGTATGGAGAGATTAACCCCTCATCGTATCAGAGATGTGTGTGATGAATTTGTGATGACTTATAGCAATACCTTATATGAGGAAATACCTATTGAACTCTCACATGGAAATTGGGATGAGTCGGAAGAAGTTCTCGAAGAAATTGCATCTGGAATTCTCGATATAATGTGAGTATAATATGGATTTTATTCTAAAAAAATATTGATTACATTTTTTCTGCTATTTGAACAGAGGTGATGTTTGGAGGAATCCAGCATTTGGAAATAAGTTTATTAAATCTCAGAATGAAGGAACATATGTTACAGATATTATAGTTCCTATGGTGAAAGCTTCATTAAAAAAATTACCAATAAAAAGTTTCGCTTTTGTTAGCACGTAAGTATAATATTATTATCTTTTCCGGATAATCATACATTTATATTTTTTATTCATTTAGAGCGGAACGACAGAGTATAGCAAGTAAAGATCGAAGAGGAAAGACTGGCAAACGTCCTGACATTATGTTTATGGTGAAGCGTGGGAAAAAAATTTATGAATTAATGTTTGCTGAATGCTCCCGTATTTTTTGTGATAAAGATAAGGAAGAAAACGATTGGGTAAAATTATGGCGAGAGATGAATGATGGTATGTATTGGGTACATAAAGGCTGTAAACCAAAAAAAGATGAATTCGGAATTATTGGGATACAAATTGCTGGAAAAAAACTTCATCTGAATATCCTTATTCGAGATAAAGATGATATAAATAGGCTTTTTAGATTACGTTCAATGGATATCCCGATACAATTCACAGATAGAGATACTGTTTATAATTTTGTGGAGACATTATTGCTATTTCGGGTATGGATTTATTTGTCTATTTTTTTATGGCGAATCTATATCTAACTTTTTTTTATAGAGAATCCTAATCGTCAACCTATCACTATTATTAAATGCGGATCGTGATTCACATGGAGATAAAGAAGATAGTTCAACAGTATCATCCCCTCCATATGAAAATTAAAACTCCATTATTATCTATATTATTTTTATCTATCCTGTATCTTATTTTATTTTTTACCGCATAAATAAATCCGACCGTGGTGGTCGTTACTTTAAAACTTTATTGATATTGATATGTAAAAATTATTTTTAACAGAAAAAATTCAATGAAAAGGCTGGCCTATGTGATAGATTCGTGGTATTGGTCCGAAGTAAAAGATTTACAACTATTAAAACTGTATCTGCTCATTTGCATTAGTTCTTATTATATGAGCAAAAATAGATTTACGTATAAACATGATAAGTATGTTAATTTTACTTCTATACTAATACGTGATATGATTTACATTTAAAATATTCACTAACATAATCATTTTTTTCGGATAATCGTTGCACATTATTTATTGGGCTTGCATGCTCCACACTGATCTCTGATTCGCAGATTAAAAACACATGATATCGCTCCAATATAACATGACATTGTATATTACATTGTATTAAAAAAAAATGAAACCTATGATTTATTCGATAGTGACTCTCAAAGTGAGGATGCTACCAAATCTGATAATTAATAACTAGATATGTGGTGAAGCAAAGAAGCGGGATTAATAATCATATAAGTCTATAATATCCTCGACTTCATCATTCTCTTGATTAGGTACTGGAATAATTGGTCTATTATTCATTATACCATAATGATCTGATGCGATATTAATTACCTTCTGTCTTAATGCTAATTGATGGAGACGTTTACGTTTGGAATCATTCTTATTTCGGAAGAAATGGTATTCATGGAGTCTTGAATTTTTTTCTTGTCAAAGTGATCGGCGCACGTGATTTTACTTTATTGTAATTTAGCTTTTCTGCAATTAAATATATTATTTATTATCACAGATATATATAGCATCCTCGATCAATGGCTCTAGCAAGACTATTTAATATATTATCTCGTTCTAGATTAATTGAATTTGATGATGCTTCGATATAATTACTGAATGCAGAATAAAAATCTGTTTTGTCTAATGTATGACTCAAAGAGTAGTCTCTAAAGGACCTGGTTATAGCTATCCCATTTTGTCCACCAGTAAAGATTGGAACAAGTGGAGGTAAATCAGAATCGGAGAATTCATCATCTGAATAATCTGGATGTTCGATTTTAATTTTTGAATTAAGTTTTTTCATCACTTCATTACTAATCCTTCTACATCCCTTCAAACTAAGATATTTCAAATTAGTACAGTTGACAGCTATCTCCTTGATAGCTTCATTACCAATCAAGCAATCACCAAGCTCAAGATGTCTAAGTTTTGAGCATGAGCGAGTAATTTCAGTGATGCACCGATTAGTGAGGCATATACATGAATTAAGACTCAGATGTAATAGCTTTGGGCAATATCTTGCAATTTCTATAATTGGTATATTACTAAAACCATAACTTCGATTAAGAATAAGAAAACGTATATTTGGGCATGAATGCAGAATTGCACTGATCAAAGCATCCGAGATTTTTAAACCTTCCAAACTAAGATATACCATCTTTGAACAATAGAGTGGCTTTATCTTTCCACACATAACTCTTTTAAACTTCATCAATCGCCAATAAAGGGGTCCAGATGTATTTTTTTCACACTGATCCTGCCGATAACCTTCTATAGAAAACTCAATGCGACGCCATAGAATAGGAGCACCGCAGTGATACCAAAGGTGGTTAACAAATAAAGCAGGATAGAGAGATCAATTGATTTCTAAAAAATATAAGATCTGTTCTAGTAATTCTGGTAAATCAAAAATATTTAGACCCTTTGGGGAATCGGAGATTCGATGCTTTGCATCATCATTGCTCCGCAATAGTTGCGCCATTCTTAAGTAATGTATATATTTAATCGAAAAATAACCAATGCTCGGATAATTAATTTAGATGCATATATCATTTATTTTTCTGATATTCTCAACCACGCTTAACTTTGCAATCAGCTCATCTAATGACAGGTCTGTTCCACATCTTCTGGCTTCTAACTGGTTATCACGAGACAATCCACGG